ACACACACACATGCACGTACAAGCGCGAGGGCGCACGTACGCACACATATACACGCACGCATGCACGTAAAAGCACGCGGGCGCACGTATGTACACACACACACATGCACGTACAAGCGCGAGGGCGCACGTACGCACACATATACACGCACGCATGCACGTACAAGCACGCGGGCGCACGTATGTACACACACACATGCACGTACAAGCGCGAGGGCGCACGTACGCACACATATACACGCACGCATGCACGTACAAGCACGCGGGCGCACGTATGTACACACACACATGCACGTACAAGCGCGAGGGCGCACGTACGCACACATATACAAGCGCGCGGGCCCACGTACGCACATTTCTCGCGTGCTAGAGCTTCAAACAGGAACGTAAACCACATATATCACAGTTCTGATTCTTAGTATAAACTAGCGCAGCTCTACGTCACAACGTCGTGACGTCACGCGCACGAAACCTTTCAGCGTCGGATGCGTGAACGCACTTGCTGTTACTGCTGTTCGCAATTGTACCGTCTGGGCGCATTTCCAAATGTAGAGGTCGCTGGCGTTGCTCGAACCGAGGAATACAACCATCACCCGACTGAACGGGGGAGACACTCGCGATCCGGGGAAGGGGTGACACTCGCGATCCGGGGAAGGGGTGACACTCGCGATCCGGGGAAGGGGAGACACTCGCGATCCGGGAAAGGGGAGACACTCGCGATCCGGGGAAGGGGAGCCCGTTGTCAGAAACACCGTAAAGCTAAGGCTAACGTTAAGACGTATCTTATCTCCAACAACAGGCTCCTGCAGCCAGGTGCGGCCACCTCACGATAATACACTGCAGGGATGTCTCTTTGCCGGGTTGTCTTCCCACGTCGAGGCAACGTGCGGCCGACATCGTAACACGTGGGCGCGCGCATCGTTGACGCTTCACTGCCGGCGTCATCATCGTCACCGATCTCTCTCGCGCCAGCCTCCACCTGCCGCGCGTCCGATCACCGTGTAACCTGATACTGCTACGGTCTCCCGCCGCTCCCATCCCCGCTACCTCCCCACTGCAGCACGGCCAGGAGCTATACGTGGGGAGCTATACATAGCGGCGGCATCTCCTGCTCGCACTTCGCTAGGAGAGAAAGAATCTCATGCAGCTGGGCCCTGGGCCTCTCGTGAGAGAGAGAGAGAGAGAGAGAGAGAGAGAGAGAGAGAGAGAGAGAGAGAGAGAGAGAGAGAGAGAGAGAGCTAGAGAGAGAGAGAGCGCACGAGCTAGAGAAAGAGAGAGAGTGCGTGCTAGAGATAAAGAGAGAGAGAGAGAGCGCTAGAGAGAGAGAGGGAGAGAGAGAAGCCTAGAGAAAGAGAGCGAGAGAGAGAGAGAGAGAGAGAGAAGCCTAGAGAAAAAGAGCGCGAGAGAGAGAGAGAGAGAGTGCTAGAGAGGTGAAAGAGCGCTAGAGAGAGCGTACGCGCTAGGGAAAGAGAGAGTGTGAGGGGGACAGAGAGAGAGCGTAAGCGCTAGGGAAACTCTAGTTACTTCTCACGCCTTCTCGCTCACTCCATCTTTCTCTGTGACTCTCTCCCTCTCTTTTTCTTGTGCGCGATATATATATA